ACTTTTTTTTAAAAGATGAATGTATCTAATCTGTGTACTTTGTTCAGTTGAAGATTCTGTTAGGTTATAGGCCAAAGGGGGTTGTCAGGGAAGTTGGACCATAATTAAGACTCTATGTTTAATAGGAATAAGGGATGATTTATGAAATACCTGTACTGTAATTATAGTTAACAATGACACATTCACAAATTGAGTTTGTAGTAAATAGAACATGAACACGAGTAGAGCAGCTGATGATATACTGAACGTGCGTGCAGCGTGCCGGTTAGAGCGGTTCTCGTTCTCGAGTCAAGATCCGGTTGCATCGGTTTTTGGATCACCAGTATACTGAACCGAGAACCGTTTCTTTCGGACACGTCAGATTTGAGAACTGATGAGCTGATGATATTGCGCATGCGTGATTCAGCGTGAAGCTACCGAACAGATTGCCTACTAGACTGACACAGCACGTCTGAACCGAACTGGTTCTTTTGGACAACTGATTCTGTGCTAATGTTACGATCGCGGGTAAACCGACGACTTGAATGAAGGGCAATCTGGCGAAACGTAAGTTTATTTAATAACAAATAAATCGCAATGGATTATGTATAGTAAGAGGGTTATGGTTTCTGCGCTGATGACAACTCATTTATTTACTTTATATCTTCAAGACTTAAATCCTCTTATGCACATCACTGCCTGTTACTGTATTTGGGTGCTTAGTTGCAAAACTTAATTGTAAACTTTTCAGATCATGATTATGTTTTAACTGACTGAAGTTATGATTACTGACTTTATATATTTGAATGTGTATTTTCATCCCGGCCCGGGACGATAGACTTGATATCATTACGTCATCGCGAATGACGTCATTACGTTAGGGCGTAAAAGAACCGATGAACCGTTTTTTTGAACCGGTTCATTGAAACGAACTGTCCGAAAGAACCGGTTCGCGGAAAAGAACCGGACTTCCCATCACTAGTTTAGATCCATGCAAATTGGATCACTAATTATGTAATTATTGCATATTTTGGTCAAAACTGTGTTTACCATGGTAAATATTGTGTAATCAAATATATTATTTGCATCTATTTTCTGGAATACCATTGATATTTATTAAAGTATAATGATAATAATATTAATTTGTTAATGTTAATCCTTTGAAAACAACCCATATATTTCTAATTAATTAACCCCTTAACTGTCACCGTCCCACCTGTGGGACGCTTGGCACTCTTTTTTTTGTTGTTGTCCTTTTTCTCTATCAAATCTTTTAGTAATCATCATCAAATCATATATCATTTGAAAGCTTAGAAGCCCAAAATTCATCCTGTGATGAAATCGGACATTGCGTTACCATGAAAATGGTACTTAAAAATATTTTGGCTGTCTCCTCCCCCTTATCGGGCGGTGTCAAGTGTCATAGTACAAAATGCATTATGCTCTTTTACAATCAAAACTTTTTATAATCTTGACAAAAAACATATCATTGGAAAGGTCTGAGTCTCAGGATTCCATATTTGGTGGTTATTTTGAGATTGAAGTAATCTAAATAAAATCTCACAGGAACCTCAATTTTTTTCATATCAACTTCAAATTTGGAACATAACTTATTTAGACATAAGGCTTTAATTTTATACCAATTTTAGAGTAAAACCTGTTATGTAAAATATTTATTATATATAAAATAAAATTTATATAGTGCATTTTCTTTACAGTAAATTTAAACTAACATAACTTTTTGATACTTTAATTCTTTAAAAACATTCCACTTTTGCGATAATCTGCTGATTTTCTTCTTTAAAAAGAGACCAACCTTATGTCTGTATTCCAAAAGTGTTCATAAATTACAACAATTTAAGTTTGGATAGTGCACCTGCATGCCTATTTTAAAAAATGGGGGGTGACAGTTAAGGTGTTAATTGATTGATTAATTAATAAAAATTGGGACTGACTTAAACAGATACATTTCAAAGCAAATTCTGACTGCACTTTTATTGGTTTCGTATTGTATGTTGTGTTTTACCATTCACTGGGCTGTGTTTAATGTTGGGAAACACTAAGAAATTCCTCAAAAATGCAGTAGATTGGTTTTATACGCGGTTTTAAGGGTTCTGTGGTATTTGCTATAAAATGCTGTAGTTGCTACACGTTACTGTAATCAAGCAATAGTAAATATGCTGTTCGTAATTGTAATGATAGTGTTGTGTGTCACAGCGGTGAGCCCTTCGTCTCATGTCATCTGTAAGATGTCGTTCCACACCAGCTCTCCTGCTCGAAAACAGGATTTCTACCAGATCCTAGGAGTTCCACGCGCAGCCACGCAGAAGGAGATTAAGAAAGCTTATTACCAGGTAATACTAGACACCTGGCGAGTGTGTGTTTGTCTTCTTACTGTGAATAGACCGGGGCTAGTTGTCACAAAGATGCTTTATTTTAGTAGCTGTGTTTCGAGTCCGAAGTATTATTACACAAATGCTAGCAGTGGTGCATGTTTTACGTTTTGTAATTAGCAAAGTGTCTGAATACTTAGGACCATGTGATATTTCTGTTTTTCTTTTTTAATAAATCTGCAAAAATGTCAACAATTCTGTGTTTTTCTGTCAATATGGGGTGCTGTGTGTACATTAATGAGGAAAAAATATTAACTTAAATGATTTTAGCAAATGGCTGCAATATAACAAAGAGTGAAAAATTTAAGGGGGTCTGAATACTTTCCGTACCCACTGTAAATTATTTACATTTTCTATTGGCCATAAACATGGCTGGATCATTTCTATTTTTGCTGTATTGTTTAGTTTTTATAATTCTTGTTTATTTTATTTAAAAATAAAACGTTAAACAGAAAAAAGGTCCTTAATGAGTCATTAAAATAGTCCATAATACTTGACAGTGACTGTTAAGTAGTAGTTTATATATAACAAATGAATATACTTCACAAATCATTGTTAACAAACTGCAGGTTTGCAACGCAAATGGAGGACAAACTACATGTCATTTTAAATGTATGTACGTTTTTCAGCTCAGAAAAATCCTAAATTGTTTTCCTATCCTAAATATAGGGCTCCCCTAAATGTTTACTGTTTATTTTATAATATAATTTAGATTAATAATAATAATAATAATAATATAATGTATAAAAGAAGTAGATTAATATATAATATTTAACATATAACATTAATACTATTGTGTTAATGTATAATATATTATACTCATAATTAGTGGTCGACCGATATATCGGCCGATATTTGGCATGTTTCAAATATCGGCATTGGCCGATAACTTTTTCTGTTTGGCCGATGCGTTCGAGGCGGGACTTTTAT